AATCCCCACAACTGGGTGAGCTCCCGTTGCTCTGTCCCAGCTCCTGCCAACGTAGCTGTTCGAAAGCACACCAGTGCAAGTAGATAAATAGGTACCGCTGCGGCAGGAAGGTAAATGGCATTTCCATGCACTCTGGCTTCCGTCATGGTGTCTCGTTGCACCAGAAGCAGTTTAGTCATGCTGGTCACATGACCCAGAAAGCTGTCTGTGGACAAACGCCAGCTCCCTCGGCCTGAAAGCAGGGATGAGCACCACACCCCATACTCAAATTCGACTGGACTTAACTGTCCAGGGGTCCTTTACCTTTACTTTACCTTACCTTTACCTTCATGGCCAAGCAAGGATTCACACACATTCCCCCCTGCTCCAGTCCAAGCCCAGTCCTCTCTCTGTAACGCCATGCTTCCCACTTGCAAGTTCTCACGGGAACTCTGATTCATTCAAAGCCATAAGCTTTCAGTTCAGGAGTCTAATCTGAATGCACTCATTTACCCATCTGGTTTTCTAACTCCCCTGATACCCAAATGTGCAATCAAATGGGCGAGGCAGCTCAAATCCACTTCCCTCGATCAGCATCCCCCCTACCTGCCAATGACATAACCCTAAATAACAAAAGATTTTATTTTTTTACTCTCAAAACCAACGAGATAATTATCTGATATGTTTCAGTGCTACATACAGAGAAATGAAACTAATTTTTGTCTTAAAAGGAACCTGGCAGCTGTTTAGCTATGCAGCCAACGTTTGAATAAAACAACCCCACTTTGTGCTTGATGTCTGCCAAATGGCTTGCTGTTATTTTCAGCAGTGTGTGTGTGTGTGTGTGTGTGTGTGTGTGTATGCCAGTTCACAACCACCACCATCTATTGTCAATGCAATGAATAGCCAACAACAATTTAAAGTAGCAGGCTGCTATCAGCATTGTTCTCCTGTTCAGAAGCACCGGGAACAACGGTGTGTTTTCTGAATACTGTAAGGAAATGCAATTCTCTTCTCGGGATCCTATCAGCAACTTTCATCCCAACCTGAACCCCGCAGACAATGAATGACAGTTTGAGCTGTCCATGCTGCACCAGAGAAGTTGTATCTACAGGTCAAGGCTGCAAGCTCGGATTTCCTGCCCCAAAGAATATTATTTGAGGACTTCCTATATTCTTAACCCTTTCATTTACATACACAAAATGCAAAAATGGCTGGCTTACACAAGTTACAGTCTTTCTGGGGGTTGTTTGGTGGGTTTAAATATTTTGGCATCTTTTCTAGGCAGGGTAGAATTTATTTCCAATGATGTCATGGCCCTCAGTTTTTGCTGTAGAGCCTTTTCCTGGGAATGGAAGCCAAACCTAACAATGAACATGTAGAAATCACAGGTCTGATTCCCACTGCTTGCATGGCACTCTTGTGTTTGCTGCAGTCAAGCTGATCCTCGAACATTGATTGCTGCAGGAAACGCAGAAAGCGCAACATGGAGATGTACTTCCTCAAGTGTGCAGTGGATATGCATCAAGGACCAATCACAGCTTCCAGGTGTTTGAAAGTTTGGTGATGCACAGCTTCTACTCACTCTTTTGCAAAATGTTGAGAGGCAGAAGGTACTAGAGACTAGCCAGTGAGGGCTGCTTATTCATGCTGGGCTTGTAAACCTCCCAGAAAGATCTGGCTGGCCACCATGGAAATACTGGGTTAAATGGGCCTTTGGTCTAACCCAGCAGAGATCTTCTTTGGTCTAACCCAGCAGGGGTGGCTATCTGCCATGGATGTTTTACCTGAGATCCTCGCATTGCAGGGGTCGGATTAGTTGATGGGAGTCAACCCTACGCAAATCTAGAGTGGAGTCCCTAAGGCAGTTGGATGGCGTCTTGTACACCTCTTTCCGGCAAGGCCTGCAGCCCAGCTGGTGCCAAATGTATTGCTCTGCTTTCCTTTGGACCATATCAGTGAGGCTGAAAGGGGTTGTCTTGTCATCTGGGCAGCTCAGAACCTTCATACACACTGCCCAATCTTGCACCTGGGAGAAGTCACTACGGTGCTGCTAACACAGCAAAAACAAATGGGGGGCAGCACTTATGAGTTATCAGTCTCTGCAGCCACACCAAGCGCTGTGATTCTTCAGCGGTTTGACACTCTTCCCCCCCTTCCCCCGGAGGCGCACTCCATTGTCCTCAAGACACATCCAGGTATTAGTGTTGTGCTGGTCTTACCCCAAAGGACCACAGCAGCCCACCGTATATTGTTCTATATGAAAGCCATAAGAGTCAGTCAAAAAGCAGGCAACAAAATGGTGGTTTTGCAAACAGAAGAATCCAATAACAATCCATTTTAATCTGGACCTAGTTTATGTCCCTGACCTCCCATTTTCTAAAACTCCCCCCCTGCCCCACTTTTGCTATACGTCACCCTTCCTTTCAAACTCCCCAGCATAGAGATATATTTTGCAGCATCCTTTCCTCTGCCTCATCTTTCTTCTCTCCCAAGCGTCCAGAAAGGGATATTTGATTGTATATGCATTTCCCCCCTCTGTATAAAGTAGTCCTATTGTGCGGCTTCTTCACTGGCAAACAGCAAGGAAACAATAGCCATATTGAAGGGCGATTAACTTCAGGGACAGCAGGCCCCGGAGCAAACAATGAAAGATCTCAAGCTCTGAAAACAGCATTGATTCACGGAATGAAACAAAAGTTTGACACCATTGGAGAGAGAGGGGGGGAAAGGTAAGGAGCAACAAGGTTGTGACACCTCTGGCATACAAACGATTTACATGCCATTAAAGTACGTGGATTGCATGCTACAATTAGGGCAGCATTTAAATGTGTGTTAGCCTTGGCAGGCTCTGTATTATCACGCTGAATTTATGTCGCCTCCAAGGTAGAGAGCATCTTCGCATTGTAACACACACAACTAGTATAACGTGTCAAGTGCGTTTTCAGCAGAACATTCAGAGGGGAAAACAATGTTTTGCATCAAACAGGGCTTGCTTCATTTCAATGTCCCTCTGCTCCTACCCATTCCAGGATGTTCCTACATGTCCATTCGACCGGATGGTGGTTTTCAAGGTATCTTTATTTTAAATTATTCTACATTTTGTCTTGCACGCTCCCCCTCAACCTTTCGGAAACATCAAGAGTTTATTTCAAAGTAAAACAAGATATGGGTGGGGAAGCATGAAAGGGGGATTAAAAAGGGGTAATGTGTGGTTAACCCAAGGCTGTGTGTGTGTGTGTGTACACGTACACACACACACACACACACACACACACACACACACACAGCATCACTATAATTGTTATGTACTGAGTGAATAGGATCCAAAATGCAGCAGTCTGGTTGGTCCTAGAACAATAGGATCCAAAATGCAGCAGTCTGATTGGTCCTAGAACAATAGGATTCAGAATGCAGCAGTCTGATTGGTCCTAGAACAATGCAGCAGTATGATTGGTCTGCAGGAGCCACCCAATCTGGCTCCAGATAGCAGTGAATCCACAACCTGATTGGCCTACAGGAGAATTCCGGAATTACCCAATCACGTGCATCCCATTGTGTAAATAATGTATATAAAGCAGATGCTTTGAGGGGACATTCATTCCTCCTCACCACTATGAGCTGAATAAAGAGCATGAAATCCACTCTCAACTCAGAGTATATTTCAATAATGAAAAAGCAGTACTGCATGAGAAAGCCTGTTTCATGCCTGCATGTTTATCCCCAGATGACTGAAACTTCCTATGATGTCTTATAGGTATGAATGGGCCATCACAGACTTAAGGCCAGAGAGGAAAGAACCATAGCTCAGTGATGAAACAATCACATAGCAAACACATGGTGGTCACTTCCAGATGGCCTGTTTTATTGAGCATCCATCCTGACCTGTTTGCACAAAGTTTGTTGGGGGGTTAGGTGGCATCTGCCGTATGCTGAGTATTCATTCTGATTTGTTTTGCAGGGCTATAGACACTGCGCCAAGCAATTGTTGTCTCACACATTCCTGGGCATTTTCCCCATCACTTCCCTGTGTCTTTTGGGATGGCAGCAGTGGGGGAGTTGGTCTGTTGTTGAAGAGCTCCAAATCAGCTTTAATTGGCTGAATTTGCCAGAACGTGATTGAAAATAGCAACAGCCAGAGAACCACCCACCATTCCAACAGCAAAGCTGTTTTCATTTGTGGTATGAAAAGTTGCGAGATTTCAGCAGGAAGAGACGGGATGTGCACGGATTGGAAAGGAAGCAGTATGTCTACCCCGTGACTTATGTAGGTGCTAACAACCCTGAAAGCAAAATCACTTATAGCTGCTCCAATACCATAATGAGCGACAGTCATCCCAAATGCAAATGAAAGCGGTGTCTGGAGGGGCCCTTTGTCTTTTGCTGCTCTAGTGTAACATGAACCACCTTCTGGGATTTTTTGCAGGTACCAGATGCCTTTGCGTTCTCTAAGTGGTTAAGTACACTGACTCCCAGCAGCCCTCCTGGTATGTCATCAATGTCTACACCATCCTCTCCTAATCTTTGTTTTCTACACATCCCTGCCCCAAGAACGTCCAGGCTGGCGGGTAATACTGGTTGCCAGAGGGGCTTTCAGCAGCGGACTATTTTGTAACAATGACATTGAATCAACACTGGATACATGACCTTTATGGATTCTGGCTCTTGCCAGGAGTGCGTGAGGCATTCACAATGAAAGGCAAGGCCACTTGTTATTCAGTCTGGACCTCAGACAATTAGCATGAAAGCAAAGCACCAACTCAGTAAGATATTTACATCTCCCATGCAGAAAATGTATTTAAAAACTCTTCAACAAAGTGGGTGGGGTATTGTGTTTTTATTGCAGCGGGGAGAGAATGACCTACGCTGGCTGTCTTGCACATCTTCTGGAAGAGCTACAAATCTTCTTTGATTTTACTAAGCTTGTGTTTCAATGATTCATGGTTTTAAAAACAAATTAGCGTATTCCTTATTTGCAGCAGAAATAACAACTAGACCTCACAGCAGTAAAATCAGGGGCGGGGGCAAGGAGAGAAGGTATTTGCTTTGAATGTTTTTATTCAGGGGAATGGGTTATGCTTCAATTAAGCTAAAAATAAATGTGTGCAGCAAGTTTGGTCAAAATGAAGGACCTGAGGTTTATAGTTGCAAGAAGGCCCAACTTCACTTTTGGGTGCTCCATAGATTCTTGTTAAAATCCAGAGGGTCTCAGCTTTCAACAGCCCAGCACTGACGGCATACCTTCCCTGTGAAATGAAGGATTATTATGATGTAGAGCAAATTCACTGAATGGACCATAAACATTACAGGCAGCTCATTTCTGATGCTTCCCTGTGACAAGCAAGTGAAGTTTCAACACACAAAGTCCGCTCTGAGTGTAATGCAGTCTGATTGAAAATATCCCTCAGGGGAAGGTTTTAATGATTGTTAAAAAGCCTTGACAGCCTCACGTCATACTATGTCCATGTTACCGAAAGCTACAAAGCAACAGCCTTGCTTTAATTTTTAATTTTTTGTTTAGTGAAGAGTGGAAAACTCACGCTGGACAAAGCCAAGGTCAATGGCAAAGATCACTGACAGTTATCACTCCTGCATTTCAGTGATGGGGCACACCTCTGGAGAACTCTCTCACGTACAATTCTGCCCTGTTGCAAAAATGAAAACAATGAGGAAATACCACAGCCAAGATCAAAGGTCCTCATCCAGCTCTTGTGATGTGAAACTATCCACGTGCAACAACTAGTGATTCTAGATGGGACTGCACATCTACATCTAGCTTGCTTCCAGGTGTCGTATTGACTGAGCATTCATCCTGATTTTGTGGCCAGGGAGATTAACTGATGTTGCATTGAGACAATGCTATCCCTTGCTTTCCAGTGCATCCTATCCTGTTCATTTCTTCTAAATCAGGCTTCCTCAACCTTGGCCCTCCAGATGTTTTGAGACTACAATTCCCATCATCCCTGACCACTGGTCCTGCTAGCTAGGGATCATGGGAGTTGTAGGCCAAAAACATCTGGAGGGCCGAGATTGAGGAAGCCTGTTCTAAGTGACAAAAGGGAGGTTGGAGGTAGCGAAAAGGTAATCTTTCTAGAATCTGACAAACATTTGCTTTAAAGCAGCCCCTCTCAGATGTTCTGGACTACAGCTCCCACGGGTGGGGCTGGTGAGAAATGTGTCAGTTTGCATTTCTTAGTACAGAAAGTATTGACCTGATGTGTAGAGATCTTTCCTATTCTACTTGATTCAAGAGGGTTCTGGAAGCTTCTCTGTGTGAAAGAAACAAGCAGAAGGTTCCTGATGTTTGGGTTATTCCTTCAGAGAAGTTGAGTACAGCTGGCTTAAACTGGTTCTCTTCTCTTTCTGTGAAGGTCGTGCTGACTATAAAAGTAAGGCCAGAAGGAGTCTGGGTTTCATTTTCTCTTTCTATCTCTCTTCCTGCTGGTGTGGTGTTCTGTACATAGTATGCTTAGTATTAAGGTTTAGACATATTATACATTATTGTAAGTTTAAGTTAAGTCTGCTGCAACTGGATTTCTTATGGACAGTGTCAATCCTGAATGAATTGGATTTGTGACCATTATGCTCATTTGCCTTCAGTAGCAATAAAGCTCTGCTGGATGAATTGCTGTTGCCTCTGATGTATTTTGGGGGGAATCCTGCAACATATTTCAGTTTTTACTCTGCTAACTATACACTGGAATCTACCCTGAATTAATATTGAGTAGAATTTCATGAAAATTGTAATCCATCATCTGTCGTGGATGCTTTAGCTGAGATTCCTGCATTGCAGGGGATTGGTCCCTTCCAGCTCTACAATTCTATATTTCCATGATCTGGAGTCCCTAGTCTAGGGAAGGGTGTTTTACACAGTAAGGTGGTTGTTCAAACCTGGATGTAATCCAGAGATCCATGCAGGTGTTTCTTACCTTTACCTATGAAGGCAAACATTCTGTGTGTGCATTTTCCTTTGAGATCTTCCTTGCATAATCTAGAATGCCCATCATGTGCCACCCAGTTGGCCAAAATCATGCTGTCTACAACAAAGGTGAAGCCATGTTCTCCACAATGCCATCCCCAACAATTCAGTGGAGCTATGATAAGGGTTATGGGAAGTAGCTGCACAAACATCTCCATTTGTGGTGGGATGCGATTGGGCACATACCAGGAGAAGCTGAAGGAACTGCAGCTGCATTGCAGGGAATTGCATTGTGTGACCTTTGATGTACCTTCCAGAACTAAAATTCTACTATTCTATGACTGCATATAGGCTTCATTCAGACATGGGGGTTGCTGTTTCGTTGTTGTTGTTGTTGTTTAGTTGTGTCCGACTCTTCGTGACCACATGGACCAGAGCACGCCAGGCACTCCTGTCTTCCACTGCCTCCCGCAGTTTGGTCAAACTCATGCTGGTAGCTTCAAGAACACTGTCCAACCATCTCATCCTCTGTCGTCCCCTTCTCCTTGTGCCCTCCATCTTTCCCAACATCGGGGTCTTTTCCAGGGAGTCTTCTCTTCTCATGAGGTGGCCAAAGTATTGGAGCCTCAGCTTCACGATCTGCCCTTCCAGTGAGCACTCAGGGCTGATTTCCTTAAGAATGGATAGGTTTAATCTTCTTGCAGTCCATGGGACTCTCAAGAGTCTCCGCCAGCACCATAATTCAAAAGCATCAATTCTTCAGCGATCAGCCTTCTGCTGTTGCTGTTTTAGCTTTCCTGGTTACAATTCTAGTGCTTCTGGACCAGTTTCCAATGTTCCTTTTACACTGCATTAACACTTGCATTATGGAACTCTAGTTTTTTGATTGCCAAGACACCATGCTGTTGCACTAAATTTAATTCACACCAATAGGTGTGGTGTGACACAACAGCGGACATAACTGGATGTTTATGCGCAAGCATGCTTCTGTTCCACCATGGTTTACCCATGAACATAGACAGAAATAACTGTTGCAATACTGAACCCAGTTTTGTCACATGGTATGATCCATGAAGACCCTGATGTTAGGAAAGATGGAGGGCACAAGGAGAAGGGGACGACAGAGGACGAGATGGTTGGATAGTGTTCTCGAAGCTACCAGCATGAGTCTGACCAAACTACGGGAGGCAGTGGAAGACAGGAGTGCCTGGCGTGCTCTGGTCCATGGGGTCACGAAGAGTCGGACACGACTAAACTACTAAACAACAACAACAGCATGATCCATGAAAATGGCAGGAGAATTACAGCACAAAACTCCCCAATGCGTTAACAGGGAGGCTAACAGATCCCCCCCCCACTCAAACCAAGTAAAACAGAATGAGCCCTAAACTTCTGCTGGATCCCCCCAGATTTCCAGAAGTGGCTTTTACGATCAGATAAAACATGGAATTTATCAGGTAAGGAAACATCAGAAAAGTGGGGAAAAGTTACGTCTGAATGCAGCCATAGTTTACCCTAAGAAGAAAGGGGTGGGAATGAGGTGTCAATAGATTCTGTGGAAGTTGTTCCTCAGTACACATTTGGGAGAGCTTTTTTGTGTTTTGGAAGAGCAATCTCTTCGCCTGATTTGATTTTCTACAAAAACCCAGGTACTAAAGTGTGTATTAAGTTTCTTGCTTTTGGAGGATTTTTTTGATCATTCAAATGATCCTAGCATTTAAACAACAACAACAAGTATATAATAGAACATGCATCCCAACTTCCAGTGTCCCAACACTTGGGCAGCAGAATACACCGCACAGGTGGGGAAGGAGTCTTATTATTCATGTTCTGCAACTGTTGAATGGTTTCAGCACTTAGTCTTCATGGGATGGGCTTGCAACTTTCTTTCTATAGGCAAGAAAGTAGTTTGTTGAAAGTCCATTATCAATGGAAGAGTCTTTGGCAGCCTGTAATTTTGAAACGAGGGCAGCGAGCTCATTCACATTGACCAAAGCACAAAATATTTATGAGTCCCTGAAGTTAAATGGCAGGAGCAGGATTGGATTCTTATCGACACCGAAGAAGCATCTTCTAATTGTCTTCCCAGTTATGGATGCAATCAGGTTGAGGATATTGTGCACTACCTGCTAATTTGCCCCTAATATACAATGCCCAGATAAAAAAATTCTATTGCCTATTCTCAACTGGTTCTCAGGCCGATCCCCCCAGGAAGTGAATGTTGAACTCTTAGCTAATAAAGATCTACAAATTACACACCTGGTAGCCAAATTTGCTCCGTTACCTAAGAAGATCGGTTCCAGCTACGCTAATGCTTTCAAACATTTATGCTGTACAGAGCTGTAGCTAGGGGGTGGTGTGTTGGGGCACCGCCAGGGGTGCAGGCAATGGGAGGGACGCAAAATCGGCTTAAAAATATATCCAAAAATATAAATATTGATGATTGCCTCATAAGAAATGGTTTTAAATGGAGGGTGAATTGAATGGGGGGGTGGAGGAGAGGCAGAAAGAAGAGCTAATTTGTCCATGACTAGGGGGCACAATGGGACGCGGGTGGCACTGTGGGTTAAACCACAGAGCCTAGGACTTGCCGATCAGAAGGATGGCAGTTCGAATCCCTGCAACGGGGTGAGCTCAGTTGCTCGGTCCCTGTTCCTGCCAACCTAGCAGTTCGAAAGCATGTCAAAGTGCAAGTAGATAAATAGGTACTGTGGGAAGGTAAACGGCATTTCTGTGAGCTGTTCTGGTTCTCCAGAAGCGGCTTAGTCATGCTGGCCACATGACCTGGATATTTTACGCCGGCTCCCTCGGCCAATAAAGCAAGATGAGCACCGCAACCCCAGAGTCGGCCACAACTGGACCTAATGGTCAGGGGTCCCTTTACCTTTACTTTGGGGGCACAATCTGGATGGTTCTGCCAGGGGAGCAAGATCACCTAGCTATGGCTCTGATGCAGTAAACTTTTATAGGCTACGTTGTGCCATTTCAGAGGAAAGCCTTGCTCTTGTCCTCTGCTGTTCATTGTAAAGGCCTTTGGCTATACACAACAAATTGATTGATTGATTGAAATCGAGAAACAACACAGTTTGCCCTTAATGTCAGTGAAGAGCTTTCAGTCGCTTGATGACTTCAGCTTCTAACACAGAGTGGGATCTCAGCAGCTTCTCCTTACTCTTAAAGAGATTAGGGCATCCTCTTATAAACATATTTATGAAGTAAAAGCAAGAGACTTCATCTTGGCAGCTTGGAATCTAACACCATTCTGTATCTATATTATTTTTCAGGATTAGAAGCTATTAATTCCTAAAATTGTGCTCTGGAGCGTAAGTGGCAGCAGCTGTAGCTCTTTGCTCAGAGCCTTTCCACATGGGTTACTTTCTGCTCAAGATATTCATTGCGAGGAGGAGGAGGAGGACCCAAACGGGGTGCTCCTCTTCAGACGGGGTTTGGCAAAGAAAATGAAATCAGATTATTTAAAAAAGGGAAGCTGGAAAGGCTGAAGTCCACTGTCCATAAAATGAGCAACCTGGGTGTTAATAAAATGGCATCTCGATGCAGGTGGTTACACACTTCCTGTTTCTGTAATCCATTCTTCTTGCATGCACAGACTAATAAAATGCCTCTTCTTATTATGTCACTACTGTACATGGAACATTTCATGCATAAAATATTAATCCTCCACACTGGGCTTTTGAGGGACTGATTGCACTGGCTTAAAAGAAGAAGAAGTAGTAGAAGACGATGGAAGGATGGCTCCTGAGCAAAGCACTGCCAACACTGTACCCAAGACACTCAGCAGCTTTCAAGAGAAAAGGAAGACATGGGTCTGATAGGAATGCTCTAGGTACATGAGGCTAACACTGATGAACCTGCAAGGTCCTGCCAAAAGTATGATCATATACATCAGTGTTTCCCAAACTTGGGTCTCCATGTGTTTGGACTACAACTCCCATCATCCCTAGCTAGCAAGAGCAGTGGTCAGGGATGATGGTCCAAGTTTGGGAAACACTGATATAAATCAGTGGTTTCCATTTAACTAAGAACTGAAGCCCCCCTGTTTTTCAAATGCCAAGCCATGGACCCCTAACTTTTGAAAATGTCGATCTTTCTATGGCACCGTATTTTTTTGCTCTATAAGACGCACTTTTCTCCTCCTAAAAAGTAAGGGGAAATGTGTGTGCGTCTTATGGAGCGAATGCAGGCGGGAGGCTCTGCTCAGCACTCCCTTTAAAGAGCCATGTGGAGCGTGTGTGCGGCTCTTCGAGGCTTTTCCCTGAGGAGGGAGAAGGGCTGCCCTTCCCCCACCTCCCAGAAAAGCCCCCAAGAGCCGCGCTCCCTTTAAGGAGCACACAGCTCTTGCGGGAGGTGGGGGAAAGCCAGGAGGCTTGCTTTTGCATATAATATAGCTGACTTTGAATCCTGTGTGCTCTCTTATAGACCTGGTTGCTCAATAAGGTACTAGTTCAAATTACTACAGGGGTGGGAGACTGTGGCCCTCCCGATGTTGTTGGACTCCTATCAGCCCCAGCTAGCATGGGCAGCTGTCAGGGATAATGGAATTTGTAGCACAGCAACATCCGTAGGGCCACAGTTTCCCTGACCCTGAACTAATAAATTGCATCCCAAGAAAGTTACATTAGTACAACACACTAAAGCATTCAAATTCACAAGCCTCTTTTTGAAATCGTTTTTAGAGTTGCTGCCCACAAATTTATAAAAATAAAATTTGAAACATACCAATATTTACTTAGTATACTAGAATCGTGATTGGGCCAAATCATGAAGAAAAGATTGTTTGAAGTTTCGAGCAAAACTGTCAGAGCTTTTTTTGTTTGAAGTTTCGAGCAAAACTGTCAGAGCTTTTTATTATTTAATTTGCTTGGACTGTAAATTAGAAAGCCTAAAAGATTGAATTGCCTGCTTGTCAAAATTATGAAAAGACTGGGTTTTCTCATTCTTAACATAAGACCACTGAAAACCTTTAAAATTTTTGCAGTGTGTAACCCACAGCTCCTGTTGTAAATCCTGTCCAAGATGTTTTTGAACTTGGTAGACTCTGAGGCTTATAAATGCTTCATCTCCGTGGACTATCCCGATTTAACACATGCCAACTCCCCTCTTGATGTGTATGGGGCTTAAAAGTGCTTTTCACTGGCTGGGTCATGCCACAAGTTCTGCCATTTTGGATATAACAGGAACTCTCATGTTGATAATTGTTGCATCATGCATAGGTAGATCTAGATTTGATCATAGGAAGATGATAAGAACATGTGATTTAAGAATCTGCTCTCTTCTCTGTGGAATCATGATTTGAATTCGCCTTTCTCCCAAGGAGCAGGCGTCTTTTAGTTTCGTGACTGCTGTCACCATCTGCAGTGATCATGGAACCCAAGAAAGTAAAATCTCTCACTGCATGCTAGCACTCTGCAATAACATACATTGACTTATAGAACAAATTAGTATGCTCAGGAACTCCCACAGATGGGGATAACTGCACTCATAGAATCGTAGAGTTGGAAGAGATCCCGAGGGCCATCTGCTCCAACTCCCTGATATGCAGGAATCCTGCCCACAGCCATCCCTGGGTGGCCTCGAACCACCAAACTTCTGGTGAACAGCCAGACACACCCATTGCGCCACAGACTCCCTAGTGCAAGGGGACATTGTAACAGACACAAGGGCTAAACCATTTTCTCGCCCATTTTTAAACAGTGTCTTAAATCACTCCCTTCCTGTATTTGGCACATTTTTTGGCGATTGCTTTGAAAGGGAATAAAACATTTCACTGATATAAGAAGCATTCAGGATGAGTTCCATTTGCGCTCGGTGATTTCAGCACATGGCCCAATCTAACTGTCTGCATTGTGCTGTGATGTCATCACATTCATTACGTGATCCCTTATTGGCTGGGATCACTCTAGAATGGAGAAGAAGACATAGCCAGGGGTGGGTGGGGGGAAGAGTGCCAAAGCAGCAGCAGAACAAAAACATTGTTGAGATTTCCAGTCCACCTTAAGGAGCAGACGTGTGGAACTGTTGCATGTCATATGTCTGTTTACATTCCAGCACAGTTTGCTGGGAACTTCCATTGTGTACAGCTTTTGTTTTTCCTGTTCTCTCTGAGAAGACGAGAGAGATGACATGTTTCTTTGTCCTGATTTATGATTAATAAATCTGTAGTAGTAGTATGCTTCCACAAGCCTCACACCTATTCTGTGTGTGCAGTTCGCTCTGCTGATAGTGTGCCCTGGCTTCGAAGCCCAGATCGCTGATTTATGTCAGAGCAGAGGCCGATGGTCTTCTCAGTGGGATGGCTGGAAGGAGCAGCGTCAGCTGGGGCTTGCCAGCTGGCCTCCCAGCCCTCTGCATGTCGACAGAAATGGTGGCAAATTATACCACCATTATACCAAAAATTATACTCATCAAATAGTTTTCAGGAAACACCTCCCCACCCTCATGCTTCAAAAAGCTGTTGACGTGAGAAGATATTTGCCATAATCTTATTAAAGACTCAGCATGGGGCAGAGTATAGCAGAAATAACAAGGCGGTTCACAAACAGATAAACCACAAAATAACCATGGTTGGAGACAGAATGCTTGTGCATGCCAGTTGCTGGAAACTGCAGGAGGAAAGAGTGCTCTTGTGCTTGGGTCCTGCTTGTAGGTTTCCCACAGGCATCTGATTGGCCGCAGTGAGAAAAGGATGCTGGACTAGATGAGTCGATGGCCCAAGCCAGCAGGCTCTTCTTATGTTAAGTTATAAGAACTCACCTACTGGTAATTAAAATACATAGTACAACTACTACATCAAAACGTCCGCATTAAAATCTATAATAAGCAAGCCCATTGAAACAGCGTAACAGTGACAACAACCATCAAAGCAAGAGCCTCAAGTCTGGAGATCTGGGAAATGCTCATTGAAAGAGGTGGGTCTTCAGGAGCCGGTGGAATGCCAATACTGATGGGGCCACTTAGCTAAGCAAATTGAGTGACTCTGAGCCAGTCAGCAGAGCCAGCCAAAGCAATTTTCCTGCTTGAAGTAAAAGACAAGACAGTGCCTCCTTTTGATGTAATAATAATAAAAATTATTATTATTATTATTAATACCCCGCCCATCTGGCTGGGCTTCCCTAGCCACTCTGCGCGGCTTCCAACACAATATTAAAATACAATAGTCTATTAAACATTAAAATCTTCCCTAAACAGGGCTGCCTTCAGATGTCTTCTAAAAGTCTGGTAGTTGTTTTTCTCTTTGACATCTGGTGGGAGGGTGTTCCACAGGGCGGGTGCCACCACCAAGAAGGCCCTCTGCCTGGTTCCCTGTAGCTTTGCTTCTTGCAGCGAGGGAACTGCCAGAAGGCCCTTGGCACTGGACCTCAGTGTCCGGGCAGGACGATGGGGGTGGAGACGCTCCTTCAGGTATACTGGACTGAGGCCGTACAGAAGTTAACCAGGCTGGCAGGCTGAAGTAAGTTGGATCTTATTTCAGTGCTGGTGATTGCTGTGCAGCCTACAACTCTTACCACCGCCACACCCTCTAACATTGTTGTTCTTCTTATCCAGCCTTTGCCAGCAGGTCTTAAGGCAGGTAACAACCATCTAAAACCATTAAAAATAGTTAAAACACGAATGTAAGACAGAACCTGCTGGATCAGGCCAATGATATCCTTTTCTCACAGTGGCCAATGAGAAGTCAAGAGGAAGCCCGTGAACAGAACTTAAGTGAAACAGTGATTCCCTCAGTTGCGACCCCCAGCCTCTGCCACCTGAAGTAGCTACCTGCCTCACTCTGTCTAATAGCAGGGCCATGAGGCCAGTAGTTCTTTTCAGCCTAACTTATTTCCCAAGATTGTGATGAGGATCAAATGTTGCTGGGATAGCTCTCATGTATTCTCCCCTGACCTGCTTGGAGCCAGGGTGGGGTACAGATGTGACAGATAAATAAATACACCCCCATATGTTTAGGGGGTGATGCTTTTAAGTGGCTGCTACTGCTACAAATGGGGCGCTGTGGGTTAAACCACAGAGCTTAGGACTTGCTGATCAGAAGGTCAGTGGTTCAAATCCCCGTGACGGGGTGAGCTCCCGTTGCTCGGTCCCTAGCAGTTCGAAAGCACGTCAAAGTGCAAGTAGATAAATAGGTACCGCTTTCCGTGCACTGCTCTTTTTTTTTTTATAATTGATATTTATTGAATTTTCAAAAAATAACAACAAAAATTTCCAAAAAAAAAATTTAAGGATACAAAAAACAAAAATAGTACATAAACAAAAAAGAAAAGAAAACCCAGCCGCAAAGAAAAAAAAAAGAGAAACAGAAAAACAAAAATATAAAGTCCTTTACAATCTCTATTGACTTCCTTTCTAGACTTCCTCCTCCTCCCTCTTTTGTTTCTTAATTTTTAATCTTTACAGCAAATCCTTTCTGTTTTTTCATAACAATCTGTCATTACGTTTCCTTATTCTATTTTCCCTCTTGTCATATAAAAACTTTAAAACTCATAGCTTATATTCAATATTTACCAAATTCTTGCATCATTACCTTTTTACAAATCATTTACCAATCCTTACTTAAGCCATGTAATTTCATTCAACATCCTTCAAACATTTGTAAGCATTCCCAATATTAAAAAATAAAAAAGAAAAAATAATAAGTCAAATTCAGTCCAGTCAGCTTCCAACCTCCCCTCCCCTGGACCCGGGATTGTCAGTCCTTTTAACCTCGATAATCCGGCTCCTTAACCTGGTTGTCTCGTATCCGAGGCCCTCAAGTCTCTTTCTTGCCCCTTTCGCCACTCTTGTTGATGATTCCTTTCCAGTCGTGGATGCTCCAGCAAGAAAATGCTTTTGACCCTTTGCAGCAAGTCCATCCCAAACCCATTGCCCAAGCCAGACAGCAAATAATACCACTTCAAATTTCCACAAAGCTTGGAGACTTCGGCTACTCCAATCCTCTGATAGCCCATCACCAGACTCGGAAGGTCCAAATAACCATATGGAGGGTCGATCCATCCCCCATTTCCAAATCTGACCACATTTCATCTTTCCGAATCTGGTTTGTCCCAAGTTCATTTATCAAGTTCAAAGGCTGATCTTGCCCGTCCAAAGGTCCCTCCATCTCTGAAGCCTCCGTCACTACAGCAGGTTCATATGCTTGTATAGCCTTTAACTGAATTTCATTTATTTGCTGCTGTGCTCTGGTAACTTCCATCATCAAGGTCGTCTCCTGACGCATCTGGTCCAGCTGGGCACTTAGTTTTGAAAAACCTTCCAGGAACAATTGTTCAAGCCTTTGTACTAGCATTGTCCTTCAAGGTCAAAGAAAATTCTTTCCCACGAGAATAGTCCAATAGTCCTTCTCTTTTAATCTCTCTGCGTTGCAATTTCACTAAATTCCACTAGATGGAATTTTTTTTTTTAAAGGAATAAAAGCAACAGCAACAATCTTTCTTTTTCCAGAAACACTTTATCCAAAATTCCCCTTCCAAATTCAAGAGGCAACAGTAGAATCAAAATGTTACCCTTCTTTTAACTAACTGTCGAGCTGGATAAACTTCAGAACGTCAATTCTGACAGCCCGCTCCTGGTTCAGGGCGGTGGAAAATTGCTTTATTTTAAACTCACTTCCGCAGGATTGAAAAGTCCAAATACAACCCCCTTCTTCTCCTGCAGTCAAAGGGGTTCAGAAATCTTAGATGTTGAATTCTAGTTCTCTTAGAATTTAATTTTCAAGCTTTAGTATATTTTGTCTTTGCTTTCTTCACATAACAAAAGAACGGAAGGCGACTTCCTGTTTAGACCTTCCCATTCCGAGTCCCAATTAAGTTCAATTTCAAGTCCAATATTATTTGTTTATTCACCAGTCTTAAAAGTGGTTCAACTCTTCCAAGATCAGGTACTCACGGATAGATATTTTAGATGCCAAATTGTCCAGGAAAAAGGCAGCGCTCTCCGATAACGGCAGTGCGGCTTTGCTGCACGGAGGACGCAGGCGACTCCCAGCACCACGCACCTCCACTCCGGAGCCCGTTACCGGGCTCCTGTCCAGGAGAGAGCGCTCTCGGTGCCCGCCGAGTCCCACGTCCACAGGCTTCTTCCGCCTGTGGTTTTTGCGGGTCCCCGCTGCGCCGTAGCGGCAGGACCCAAGCCTCCGTGCAGCGGGTTCCCTTCAGTCTGAAGGGAATTCCGCCATTTTCCGGAGGCGCCACCCCGGAAGTCCTTTCCGTGCACTGCTCTGGTTCGCCAGAAGTGGCTTAGCCATGTTGGCCACATGACCCGGAAGTTGTACGCCGGCTCCCTCGGCCAATAAAGCGAGATGAGCGCCGCAACCCCAGAGTCGGCCATGACTGGACCTAATGGTCAGGGGTCCCTTTACCTTTACCTTCACTGCTACAAATGGTAGGTACATATCAACTGTCTTGTCCTGACAGCTCCATATTAGCAGCTGCCAGCAATGCTATTTTTCTAGAAAAAGAGGTGCCAGAAGACCATGAACATCTCCCTTGTTCTCTTATAATGGCAATGGCGTCCACCAGAGAGGTTCCGGTGAGTCCCGGTTGAAAAAAAAGCCCTGGCTGCCAGTGAGCCTGATATTTCAACTGCCTTGCAGGATCGGGGTGGAGGCTGCATTCAGATGTTGGAAATATTGCATTAGTTTTCCTGATTATAATGCTGGAGCTTTTCAAATGTCTTGATTTTCTAATGTCCCTTTCTCAGTGCGGTACCTGCTGTGCTATGTAACAGTGGCTTTTTGACCGATATACTGGCGTGTCATGCTAAATTTTATTCACACCAGTGGGTGTGGTACGGCATGACAACGAACATCCTTGAACAATGTCGCTACTCCACCACCCTTTCTGAACATGCCTCCTTCTGATTCCCCAAGATCCCTCAATGAACTATGTGCCAATATACTGTCCCCGAGCCCCTCACTTCACTCCCACAATTTTGTGGGTAAATAGGGTTTTTCTTTTCCTTTCTGGAAGATATTAACCTGGAATGAGAGCTAACCTTCCATTGGAGTTTGCCAGATTTTGAAAGTTCATCATGTGAAAGTTCAAATATAATGTGGAAATTAGCAGTTTGGAAGAAGAGAGCAAGCTGCTGTGTGAATGCAGCTGAAGTGGAACTTCTAGAGTGTGGTTGTGAGAAAGGTAAGGGGCGGGATACCTAAAGGGCATGAGAGAAAGCCTTGTAAAAGAATTTATAAGAGTGGTTCCCAATTGGTGGCCTGTGGACCCTGGCGGGTGGGGTTGGTGGCACCATCCACGTAACAAAAACGACCGTATTTTTTGCTCTATTAGACGCACCGGACTATAAGATGCACCTAGTTTTTAGGGGAGGAAAACAAGAAATAAGAAAGCAACGCAAAGCATCCTGAGCTAAGAGGGAGCGCTCCTCCATCTTCGCTCAGGAGGCTTTGCACACCGATCTTAAAAAGCAGAGACATCACCTTGCCAACAAAGGCCTGTACAGTTAAAGCCATGGTTTTCCCAGTAGTGATGTATGAAAGTGAGTGCTGGACCACCGAAGAATTGATGCTTTTGAATTATGGTGCTGGAGGAGACTCTTGAGAGTCCCATGGACTGCAAGAAGATCAAACCTATCCATTCTGAAGGAAATCAGCCCTGAGTGCTCACTGGAAGGACAGTTCGTGAAGCTGAGGCTCCAATTCTTTGGCCACCTCATGAGAAGAGAAGACTCCCTGGAAAAGACCCTGATGTTGGGAAAGATTGAGGGCACAAGGAGAAGGGGACGACAGAGGACGGGATGGTTGGACAGCTACAAACATGAGTTTGACCAAACTGCAGGAGGCAGTGGAAGACAGGAGTGCCTGGCGTGCTCTGGTCCATGGGGTCACGAAAAGTCAGACACGACTGAACGACTAAACAACAACAAAAGCATGCAGTGGTGACTGGTGACCATTGGGGCAGGTGGGACAGAAGAAAGGGAGCTCAAGAGCAGGGGGAGCCAGAGCCAATGACAGATGGACCCAACTAATTTTAGTTTTGTCCCCATCCTCTACCCTGCTGAGTTCTACAACAGCAACATTGAGATTGAGAAGGAAGGTGACTGGTGCTGACAGCACCCCTGAGCTGGACATAATAAATACAGTATATGAGGCAGGTGGGGGGGCTGTCTGAGGTCAGACTGAGGTTGATGGGGGCAACCCCCCATTCACCCTAATGGGTCAGCCTCCACAGCTGGATGCCAGACAAATAACAGTATGCTACTGTAGTCTCGAATGCTTATTTTGCCAGTGATTATCTCCAATTTTCTCTCCCAACCATCAACTCTAGGGAGGGAACTGGGTGGCCTAAGTATTGGTTTTGGCTTCATCACATGACCTCTACTTGATGACTTTGGCAACCAGCGCTTGCCAAATCTATGCTTGGAAGTAAATTCAGCTAAAGCATCCTTAGTTATGCCTGCATATGTTTTTTTTTAAAAAAAGGAAAAAATAGAACCCAACCACTTACACATGAGATTTCTTCTGCGTTTGGGTAAGAACAATGTCCAATTACGGGCTTTTCTTTGGAAATAAATTAGAACTTCAATGGGGTATCAACTAATTATCTCCTAAGGAGAAAAAAAAGCACCAGCCCTTTAATTTTATGTTAATAGAGCTAAAGGAATATTTAGCTGTGTCATTTATGTATGAAATGATGCTATAAGCCTCACAACATCGAAGAGCTAAAAGGGTTTAAATCAGGAGCTAGAGCCCCACACAGTGACCTTGCCACCTTTTCCCAGGTGGCAAACTGGATAGGAAATTGGCAGCACCAAACCATATGATTAATTAAGCCTCATCGTGAAATTCTAAAGTCATAGCAACTAGCCAAGCTATGCAAGTACAGTTCTCTTAAAAGATTTAATCAGGTTTTGGGCAAAAGAAACCCCACTCTGTATTAGTAGATTTGGCATTCATCTGAGGAAAAGATCAATGATGCTAAACTGTCAAATACTTAAAAAAAAAATGTTTGCAGAAAAGAGTGTCTGGGGAGAAAACTCTTACAAAAAGTTTAACAGCATTATGCAACGAGAGAATTTGTGTTGACTTAGAACAAAAGCAGAGGGAATCTTTTCAAAAATGAAACCATGGCAGGATACTTGTTCATATACAGGTATATATTTTTTTTCTAGCTAAGAAATGTGAGGTTAGCTTACAGTTTGCGGAGGATGGGAGGATTTGCAGATATTAAAATCCGTAAATGTCACCCCTTAAGATTGCCATTTAATTCTCAGTCAACGGAAGGAAGAGAGTGTCCTTTGCTAAATATTTATTGATGTCCACGTCTGCAGTTGCACTTCAGTTCTTTAAGAACTCATGTCCAGCATCAGTGACAAAAGTTACAAACACATTCTGATTCCATAATCGCATTGATGGTACCTAACAAATAAAAGATTGGGGGTGTAAAATCATGTGAAAAATAATGGAAAATCTGAATGCATTAGAGTGCACAAAATGTTTCGAAAAATACAGGGACAGAATATTTAGAACCTTCTCCCCCGGCTAGCAAAATGAACTAGAAGATGGATGTTAGTTTTTAAGACGCCAAAACATTTGGTAGCTTCCAGATCCAACTATTGTGCCATGCAGCTTGCATCTTTGCATTAAAAGGGGCACAGTTATTTGTGTGGCTACAGTGGTACCTCGTGTTACGTACCACCCCCTTTACGAACGCTTTGGGTTACACTCTCCACTAACCCCGAAGTAGGTGCTCCTTGTGGCGAACCTTTTCCTGGGATGCAAGCAGAAGTCATGTTCTGGCTGCGCACGCACAGTGGGAGACACCATTAGCGAAAGCGCGCCTGATGTTACGAGCGGTTTCCGGTTATAAACTGACCTCCGGAACCAATTAAGTTCATAACTGGAGGTACCACTGTATTTGAGGGATACATTGTGGGCTTAATTTGCATCTGAAATATTATTTGCTCGTCCATGAAACTGTACCTTCAGCATACCCCAAACTGCATCACCATGAAGGCTTCATTACTATGTATGCTTACCTGAGCATTGGTTGGCATCCATTGTCTGTCTCAGGAAACAGTGGAAGAGGACACCTTTGGGGGCTGAAGTCAAACCGTTGGAGAGTTACAGCGTCTGATGTGGCTGTAGA